TGGTTTTCCACAAGGTCTCGACGATGCAGAGATCGATGTCAGAGAGAGTCACTGGAACCCTGTCACTTTCAGAAAAACCTGCAAACTCCTCGTTCGTGAGGTTGTCAGCTTCAACGTTTTCCTCCCGAGGTCTCCACCTCAGATCTAAACTCAAGCGTGCCTTTGCTAAGGAGGAAGATAACTGCATGTTGATCAGCATTAGAGGCCATCTGGTTGTGGACCTCTTGGAGGTGAGCGCATCATTTGCAATATTGTCTGTGCCAGCCCTCAACGCAAGGGTAACAGTCTGCCGAGTCGTGCCCTCCTTAAACCATCCAAATGCCTGCAGTGCGCACAAAGAAGAAAGCAATTCAGCAGAAGTGGATGCCCACTGAGAGCCCCCCCCCTCAGCTTTGAAAAGGTAGGGGACCTGAGTCCTATCAAGCTTCAGCGAAAACCACCTGCGTGTTTGCAATTCCCATCCACCAAGTACAACATGTTCATCTGTGCATTTTGCGTCTGTCCGGAATTGCTCCCCGGAAAAATAAATTGGCCTCCTTGCAGAAACTCTGAATGTTTCACTCTCCATTTCCCCCAGAATATAAAGCAGGGTCAAGATGACCGTATCCGGAAGCTTCCCAACCAGCCCCGGCGTCGCAACAGCACTCCAAGCGAACAATGGTGCCAGATGCGGCTTGAGCCACGTCAACAATTGAGCCACAAAACCAAGGCGGCCAAGGAACTCACTGAACTCCCTGGCCTGAACCACAAACTTCTTCTCTATCAACGCCTTGATCCAATTGAAAAGCCACATCCCCCTCTTTTCAGTAATGCCAACTTCGCATTTGTCATAACGCAAATGGAAACCAACGAAGTCAGATGAGAAGCCTCCCTTGAACTTATGATACCCAAAAGGTGTCCCAATCACCTCAAACGCAAGGAGCCAAACCCAGAGCATATCAAACTTCCATCGACCTGCAAATGCTCCATGCAAATCATCCACGTAAACCAAATGCCAAAACACTGTTGTCTGCATCACATGTCCTACAAACCGCCCAATGGCTGCAAAAAGCTTCGACCACCAGTACGGAGCACTTGACACTCCAAAAGTCCCAGTCTTGTTGATCCAAACAGTTTCGGATAAAGAATCCGCACGGCAGCAAATATAAGGCCAGTCAGCTTCTCTGATCTTCACCAAGCGATGGGCTGCCTTGATGTCTGCTGATACACAAAAGGCTGCTTCCCTAGACTCCACCGCCTCCCGTACTACGGCGGCCACCTCTGCTGGGCCTGGGCATTGTAGCTGATCCCTGTAAACAATGGAGTGGTTGACCATGACTGAGTGGGTGGCGTCGTGTAATGGACGGACTCCACCATCCGGCTTGACAATCGCCGCCATTGCTGCGACTCGCAGCTTATCACCATACTTGGCCTTGAGAACTGACATTCTTGAAGGTTCCATTCGGCCAAGTGCTTCTTCTTCTCTAAATTTCTCCTCCAGCTCCTTTGAAGAGATCTGCCCAGAAACGTAGTTGTCAGCAATTGGATTGAACTCAGTTCCATCCAACTTCCTATGCTTCAACTTCGGTGGAAAAATTTGCGGTGACCTGGGCAATGGGGCGTCCACTCCAACGCTAACGCCAGTAGCGTACGAGTCAGTATCACTCACCAAACACTGAACATCTGGATCACCAAAAACTTCCAGCCACTGCGCCAACATCCGTAGAAAGAAAGGCTGGCCCTCATCTCTAACCAACGCATCTTCTGGATCCCTCAGCAACATGGCCACTTCCCCCCGCACTTTGTTCAGCACCTCTTCAGTAAAAGGAGAAGATTGAATTTTGCCAGTAACCAGACGAAACGCATCCTTCCTCACATCTTGTATCGACTCCGTAACTGCTGACTGTAAACGCTTAAAGGTCTCGGCCGCCAACTTCTTCATTTCAACAGTGCGGTTATGCCCCCTGGAACGGGGATGCCATCTCGTGGGAGAGCACAACCCAAAACCATCTATGAGGTCGTGAGATTTGCCATCCCATTCCACTTTGATCGGTGGCCCATGATTTCCACACCTTGCTACATCAAACTCTTCGGCATCGATTGGCAAATCAAGGGGGGTGGCTGCGTCCTGAGCATCTCCAGTCAAATCAATCGTGGGAGGACCAGGAGTAGTCGACACTTGTTGCACCGAACTTGAACTCCCGGCTGCTGCCGTTTGTTGAACAGAACTTGAACCACTCGAAATTGTTGATTGCTGTGGACCACTCGATGTTGCTGGGTGTTGTACTCCACTCATTGGCACACTTCGGGAACTTCCCTTACCAGAAAATTTGCAGGAACTTCCATTGCTAGAGCCAGCCTGTGGAACTTGGGAACTTCCCTCACCAGAATTTTTTCCGGAGCTTTCCTTGCCAGAAGCAGTCTGTGTAACAAGGGAACTTCCCTCATTGCCCTTTTGGTTCTTTGTCCCCCTCCCGCAGGATGCTCCAGCATGAAGGACCAAAAGTGAAAGGAATTCACATAAAGCAGGGGGATATGAAGCGCTTGGACTGGTGTTCCATTTGTTTGCAGTCTTACCCAAAAGTTTGTGCTTGTGTGTGTGGCCACAAGACTTCGGTAAAGGTCCTTTGTACAAGCCTTGTTTGTCAAAACGCGGTAAACCAAAATGGCATCTTGCGTCTGTGACTGCAAACGTACCCAGGAATCTTGTTGGTTTGGGAGTCAAAGCCCCAAAGTGACATTGTTGTATTGCAAAAGTGCAAGCGCCACATGAAGGAATGAGGTCAAGAACTTCTGACCATTGCCAGATGGATCCAGGCCGCTCATCTTTGACAAGTCCCAAGTCTTCCGGATGCTCGATGATAAATTTGCCACCTGCAGCATGACAGATGATACAGGATTGAATGCACCTGTCAACAAACATGTTGGCCTCTTCCACAACTGCTTTGTGATGCTGGGCTAGCCACGGAAAACCACGTGGCCAATTGATGTTCCTCAAGGGTCTTGGACCCGGCCAATCCTGAAAATGAAACCTTGCCCGTGAAAAGGTGTTGCACGGAGGGGAAACTATGAGCATCCAACCCCCCTCTTTGAGGGTGTTCCATATGTCTTCCCAAATGGACAGGTTCGTAAGGTCATGCTCTGGTGAAATCTCTATGTCAAACTCTTTGAGAGTCAGTTTGATACGGCCTGCATCGTGGGCCTGCTGTAAAAAGGAGGCCACATCCGATTGACGCCTCTTCCCAGCAAACAAGTACATCACTTTCACTTCGGGAGGCGATGCATGAGATGGGTGCGGCTTAGAGCTGGGGTCTTCAGTGCCACACCCCACTTGTCAAGTCGAACTTCGACTCTTCTCTCTATGTTGAATGGCTGGATGATCGCCATAGCACCCCTTGACTCTGCACTGATGTACACGATTGCAACTATTGTCACATGATCCAGAGTTGTATGCAAAACACAGGTCCCGACCATCGGGTGTCCTCCAAGCAAGCTGCAGACCTGCAAGCCTCGAATCTTTTCCCTTTGACTTTCCAGTTTTTCCCTTTCCTTTCGAAGCCTGCTGTCCTGACTTCCCTCCAGAAAAGGAACCTTTGCTATTGAAACGAGGCCATTTGTTCTGTGGAACATCAGCTGTTGCAGCACGCAATGCAACAGGCGTCGTGAAAAATGCTTCTTTCAGGTCAGCATCCTTTGTAACTGCACGCAATGCATTGGCTAAGGTGTAGCCCTCATTGATCACCAGGCGCATGGCTTCTTTTCTCAGCTTGTGTTCAAACGCTAAAATGATCCTCCAATCAGGTTTGACCTTCTGTTGTGTTCCATCTGCAGCTGGAATCTGTATTCCCAACACTCTCTCTCCCAAATGAAATCGACAAATTTGTTGAAATCCGATGCCTCCAAACCATGAAGCCAATTCTTCGCCCTGTACCGTGCTGACATGCACAACCAAGCAAACATTTCAACCCTCATGATCTTTCGATATTCCTCAGTGTTGCTGGGCATCCTGGCTTTGTTTTTGGTCCGAGTGACCCTCAAATGCCCTGAAGAATCCACTGTTGACTGAATATGTGAGCTTGCATTGTCTCGTTTACTGATTATTTCGTCCAAGGGCGAGGCCACTGGCTCGTTGAGCTCCGTCTCCTCCGCTTTGAGTGCCAAGTTGTCTGAGCTGGGCGTCTCAGACTCACCAAGACAACCATGGATCCTTTCAACAGCACGAATCATTGATTGCCTCTCATGAGACTGAAGAATCTTTGGCTGGCCTAAAACCTTTGCCTCGGCGCGTAATTCAATCTCTTTCGCAACAAATTCTTTTGCTGTTTCCCATGCCGCCACAATTGAAGCTACCTCAGCCCTGTTCTCAGGGGTATCTTGGGGAATTGCAAAGTCCTGCAAACAAGCTGTACGAATCTGAGACCTGTCGTCACCGATTGCATTGAACTTCCTAAGGGACCCATATCTCCTTGCAATTGCAGCCTGTCTGTGAACGGAAACGCCAGATTCACTCAGGATAAACTGCAAGTCTGCATCACTGTTCTGAGAAATGTATTCCCTATCAGCTTCATCTGGGTCCACGGCCATTGCACCAAGGGACGGACGTACTGTCCAGGCACTATGTGAATTGACACCAACCAAAGTGCAATGCCCAATGAACAACTTCCCAAACAGAATGATGAATGAAATGAAAACAGTGAAACGTTCAACAGAGGCACCCTTAGGTCTGAGCCATCTGTAATGAACTTGACATCTAATAATGAAGTGATCTGAATCACCCACATGCCAAGTCATTGAACCGTGATCGACATCACGTCACCCTGAGGTCTAAAGCCAGAATTTCGGACATCACCAATGTAACCATCTGTCCAGACTGTCTCAACAGTGCCTGCCCAAGTATTTTAATGCACAAAGTTTGACTGAGGTCTTCACCAATGTCTGATCAAGAAAGATAAACAGAATCATGCAAAATCAACACAAACTTTTCGATGCAGCCAGCAGGTAACGAAAGTTGAAACAAACAAAGGTCTGAACCCACTGACGGCAAGCCTGACATTGCTCCTTTGGCAACACGTCGGCAACTTAGCCTGCGACGTCATCTGCACTTCCTGTGGACGACGATGATGCCGTCGAACTTGACTCAGGATTCACATCCTTCCCGTTCTCAGCTAACATCTTCCTCTTGCATGCTCTGCAGATTGAGCCAAAATCTTCATTGGTAACTTCGTCCAACATACGGACTTCAGTGCAGTTGGACGGCTTGACAAAACATCCAGTGAGGTGCAACCTGCGAAATGCTGTGCGCCTCGAGATGGTGACAAAGAACTTTGACTGCCCTTTTGACGTAGCCTCATCTCTGGTTTTCTGATCCAGGATGTTCGCAGCCAACGTAAGCTCATCCTCTTCGTTCTCACCAATTTCGAACCAATCATCTGGCAAGACCTCCAAAGTGGAGAATGTTCCCCCAAGACAAAATTTCCCAGAGAGGCTGGAGCACACCATGTGCTTCTTCCGAATCCTGTTGCGGTTGGCCCCAGAATCTTCTGCGGCCTTGCAAAGTCTGTCAACCGCCTCATCTTCAAAATATTCCTGATCCAAGCCTGTCACAATCGATGTTGACAGCCTTTTGTATGGTGAACACCACCTGACGCGATGTGCGGACATACTCCTCTGAAGCTACCATACCCATTGCCCAGCGGCCCAAATATGCCCTCTGGTCCTTGTGGAACCCGATGGCGGCTGCCACAGATGTCAGAAAGTTCCGTGGACTGTAAAATGGGTTTCCAGTCCATCCGGTAGCAGCAGCCCTCCGGTGTTTGCCACCCACATGTCACCCTGCTTCCTGGGACAGGTAAATCGCTGAGCAGCTTGCTGATCAAAGAACTCAATCCTGATGGTGTCACAAACTTCCGCTTCGCTGAAGTCCAGTCTGCTGTGGGCTCCATCACAAGAAAATCCCTCCTGTAATTAAATGGCTCACCATCCCAAAGTCTGTAACCAATCCCAAGCCAATCCTCTCCAGTCAGTGAAACAGTTCTGTAAACATGAACCGAAACCTCCTTCTGTATCTTGTCAGGGCCCGACGTCTTTGATTTGCCCAGCACCATGCGTAGCCCGTAATTGGACAATGTTGTTCTGTGAGGCAATGTTGACTGCACGTCATCGCACCTCATGGACCCCAAATCATCACAAGCACCACCCATGCCAATGCTCTTGAAAACAGGCGTTGGGAAACATCTGCAACAACCAATTCCAAAGAGAGCAACATTGCAATTGTAAACATCTCTGCAGGTTTGACCGGCGGGGAGTCAGCCGCCAGCTCCGCTGTCCACGCCTTGATGTGGGCCAGCCACAACTGCTCATCCGATAATCGCTCCCCTCCAGGAACTCTACCAAGCTGCTCAATCATCAGTGTCAGTGATGTATGGAAACTTTCAGGAATCGTCTTACCACAACCTTCATCTACACGATGTTGAATGTAATCTATGATGTCTTTCAACTGGACAGGAAACTTGCGACCAAAGTGAAGTTCCAACCACACTACAAATGGTCTCCATGACTTGTATCGATTCTTCAGTGTATTGCACCTCCGAGTTCCGAACAGGTGGACCCATCCCTGCTGATGATCATCCAAGGTTCTGATCAATGCCACCACTGGCAAATCAGCATCAACAATCACTTGAGCAAGAAGTGATGTGTACTTCTTCCGTTCAACGTCTGCACGTTTCGCTCTAGATTCAGCTTCTAGCCTGTGAATCTTCTGTCGCTTCTTTGTATGTGCTTCAATCAAAGAAACCACATTGGTCTGAACCAACCGCTTGTAAACATCTTGAACTGTGTGAGGTCCCGACTGAATTGGAAGAAACATCACATGGTCTACAACCTGACGCCTGGCACGCTTGCATGACCTGCCATTGGCATCCTTCCAAACCATCAGAGTTGCCACGATGTCCATGACTTCTTCAGCAACCATGTCAGGAAAAATTGCATGAATAAACTCGGCAGCACCCAAATCGACATCAAACGCAGCATCCAAATGCAAAGGTGATTTGAAATGCTTCTGAATACAAATGAGATGGTCCTGGCCCAGACCTGGCCACTCCAATGCCATGGCATGCCCAAACTACCGTCCAACCCTGGTTGGATGCAGCGCGCCCCTACCTGTCCAAATTTCAGAGCCTGTGCTGCACGTAAAATATTGAGTGAAATTCCAGTTGAAGTCAAATCTGCAAAACGATTTGCGAAGAAGCCAGAGCTGAACAGTTTCACAAGTTCCAAAAACTTCAGTCACTTGTTGAAAACGACATGTGAAAAACCAAACAGCAGCGAAAACGTCACAACGTAAAAGACCAGCTGTAAAACTCTTCTCAAAAGCAACTGTACCAATACGCATCGATCCCATCCAACAGTTAATACCAAAAACAGCAACTGCAAGAGGAAAACCAAGTTCACCAGGTTGATCCAAGTTTGTGAACCCAATCGCTACACAAGCCACATCTCACGAACTTCGCCAGAAGGGCCACCAAGGCCAGGAGGAACCCACCCACACACCCAACATATAGTACCGTATAGACTCACGGGCACGCCCTATGAAGCGTGGAAGGCAAGAGGGCGGTATGACATGATCCCCAGCTCAACCCCCTACTGTCACACTTTCCTCCGTGTGTCCACCCCCCCTCCCCCTCCTCTTCTCTCTTTTGTGTTTCACTCCGTTTTCACCCATTAGCTGGTTTTTGTTTCATCAATCATGGTGGTGAAAGATGACTTTCGTGTCCAATAGGTTCATTTGTCACATCCACTTCAGTTAGCTGTTCATACCCAGTGTGTCTGTCCAAGGACGTGACAGGTGCACTGGTATGCAGCCGGAGACGCAGCTTCCCCATTTATAATTGTTAGGTTCCTCATGCGACACATGCCTGGCTCCAACCAACCCAGATCTCTCCAGCAGTTGTGAGCCACAGTTGGCTTTGTGTGCGAGTGCCAGCTTAGGCATAACAGATCGGGCCCATGGCTCCGTTAATACCTGGTTTCTCAATGGGCTGTCCCGCCGAGAGCTTAGCGTGCACTAAGGTTGCCTCTGCCATGAAAGCCTAGTGCACGCACTCGCTTTTTCGCAGTCTGTGCCTGACAATCATTGATGGGAAGGATGCGTTTGTTGTCTCCAGATGTCGTCTTGATGAACCACTCATTCCCCCACCCTATCCACCAACTAAGGCACTTGAATTAGCTGACTCCTCCATTAGATTTTACCATTTGCAGAGCTACATTAGCTGTTGGTGCCTCTTTCTGTCTTTTTCTTGTTTGAGGTGACTGTTCCCTGACGTGACCCTCACTCCCCCTCGGATGTTCCTCCTTGGCGCCTTGGTCCAGGTTTTACTGGTCCCTCCCTCGGGGTATCGTTGCTTCCGGCGACGGCCTTGTTGCCTTGCCTCTGTGCTTGGAGTGATTGTTGTGCATTGATTTCTCCTCTTCATTGTGTCTCATGGCATTAAAGGCCTTTGGCCCTGTGTGGGGATCTTTCCCTCTACACCATGTTTCCCGTGTTGTTGGAGTGCTGTGTGCACCCTCACTGAGGTATTCATCATTGTATGATCCGTGGCCCCTTCTTTGAACTCCGCTAAGGCACATTTGTACCCCTTCTGGTGCGGGTGTGTCCCTCTCCCTCTGTCCTCTGCTGCCTCCTGGCTTCTCTCCTCGTTCCTTCTGTGTGGCCGGTGTTGTTGTGTGTGCTTTGTCTCGGCCTCTCCCCCTTGTGGTTTGCTTCCCCCCATGATGGCAGGGTTCTCTTTGGCGTTTGCGGTGTCTTCTGGTTAACCTGCTGCCTGGATACTGAGGTTACCGCCCTACATCAGTGCTCTGTTATTTCACCCTACTACATTGGTCGTAGCTTTAGCTCCTATGAATTCGTTTGCGGTGGGGCAGACTTCTGTCACCGTCCCCCCCTCTCCGTTTTACCTCTTTTTGGTCTTTTTGTGGCGTTAGGCTTTTTGATTCATGTGGCTTTTTCGTTGGCTGTCTGGGGAGGGCCCTTCTCCTTCTGTTTTGTTTCCGCGTTTTCTCCGGGAGGGGCGGTAGATCCCCGGTAGAGCCATGGACCAGGCTGCACTGCAGTGAGCTCTACTGGCGCTGTCCAGTGGTGCTTCCTGCTGTTCAGTCTGGAGCGCCCTCGTGCAGCAAAGCCTGCCAACATGGATCGGTGCGCTGATGGGACGTTGTGATTCTGCTACTGGCTTACTCTAGGGGAGAGTGGCCCTATGCGAGATGCACTGCGAACCTCTGGAACATCTGATTTGCAGCAGTTTTCTTTCGCAGGGACGATGACACCTTGTGAATCCTGCTTGTCAATCTGGTGCTGGTACAGCGAACCTAGTCACCTCTTCAAGTTTGTGGCGTGAGCACGACTGACATGCGAGAGCGGCACAATTTTGTACAGTTCGCTAGTAGCAATCTTTCTTGCTTAAGCCTACCCTCTGCATGAGTGCATTTTATTCATCTGCAAAGACCATACGGAGAGAATCTTTTTTGTTTAGCGGCTATCGCTTACCATTGGCACCTTTTCAGGTCCTCTTGGCCTCCTACGATTTGACAGCATCTGTGGTGAATTACACATTTTGTCCTGCATGACCTACAGGCTGTCAATCCCTACCCCCCGCGAGGGGGGTATTAAGTCACATCACCACTGCGGCAGTATCTCACTACAGAGATTGGACTCCGACTTCACTCTCATCATATGACCAACTGTGATAATGAGACTGGCAACTGGTACGAGCTGTACTGTCAACTATTCCTGATTTGCCTACCTATCAGAGAGCTGGAGCGACAGCCACGGATTATAGGCGAGGAGATTCTGGGTGATCGTGCACGATATTTTTCGCTCTGCAGCACTTAATTAGTTTGCATGTTTTTGATGATGATACAGTGACTTACGTCACTGTATCCTTGGCAAATCACTGAATGTTTGGTTTGGTTTTTGTTTGGGCCCGGCCCCGTTCTTTGTTGCTTCGCTGTTTTGCTTTTTGGCGAAACGCAAATCTGGCTGGGGGATTTGCGGGTCGTTTTTGGTTGCGGTTTTTTTGTTGTTTGGTTTGTGTTGATGTGATGATTTGCCAGCGTTTTGGGACCACACGTGTCCTTTTTCTGAATGCTTTTCACCGCTTACTCAATTGTAAGGACCGTGCCTAGTGCGAACGGCCAAACCGGAAGAAAAAAAAGTGGAAGGCAAGAGGGCGAAGTGTAAATAAAGAGTTGGAATTTAGATCATGGCATTGTGGAAGGCAAGCGGGAGGAAGTTTAAATAAAGAGTTAGATTTTACATCATGGCATTGTGGAAGGCAGGGGGGGAAGTTCAAATAAAGAGTTGGAATTTAGATCATGGCATTGTGGAAGGCAAGGAGGGAAGTTTGAATAAAGAATTAGATTTTAGATCATGGCATTGTGGAAGGCAGGGGGATGAAATTTAAACAAAGAGTTGGAATTTAGATCATGGCATTGTGGAAGGCAAGCGGGAGGAAGTTTAAGTTAGATTTTAGACCATGGCATGGTGGAAGGCAGGGGGAAAATTTTGAAGAGTTCGATTTTAGATGATGCCATTGTGGAAGGCAAGAGTGGAACTATAAATAAACAGTAGATTTTAGATCATGGCATTGTGGAAGGCAAGGGAGGGGGAAGTTCATAAAAAGTCAGATTTTAGATTCAAGTTTCAAAAATAAGAGTTGGATTTTAGACCATGGCATTGTGGAAGGCAAGCGGAGGGAAGTTTAAATAAAGTGTTTGACTTTGGATCATGGCATTGTGGAAGGCAGGGGAGGAAGTGTAAATAAAGAGGGGAGGAAGTGTAAATAAAGAGTTGGAATTTAGATCATGGCATTGTGGAAGGCAAGGGGGGAAGTTTAAATAAAGAGTTCGATTTTAGATCATGGCATTGTGGAAGGCAAGGGGGGGAAATTTAAATAAAGAGTTAGAATTTAGATCATGGCACTGTGGAAGGCAAGAAGGGGGTGGAAGTTTAAATTAAGAGTTAGATTTTGATCATGGCATTGTGGAAGGCAAGCGAATTAGATTTTAGATCATGCCTTCGACGAACGTACCTTAAGGCGGCTTCGAAGCCTTCGAAGGTACCTTAAGGGGTCTTCGCCGAAGACTTCGAAGGTACCTCAAGCCTTTGCCGAAGGGGAGACGGATGGGGAGGGGGGGGTGAACGAGGAACCGAAGCCCTTAAGCTACCTTAAGGGGGCCTTAAGGTACCTTAAGGGGGGCTTCGAAGGCTTCGAAGGTATCTTAAGGGGGCTTCGAAGCCTTCGAAGGTACCTTAAGGGGGCTTCGACGAAGGTACCTTAAGGGGTCTTCGCCGAAGACTTCGAAGGTATCTTAAGCCGGCTTGGACGAATTCTTCGAAGCCCCCTTAAGGTGCCTTCGAAGCCTTCGAAGCTCCCTTAAGGTACCTTAAGGTGGCTTCGAGCGTTGAAGCCTTGGCTGAAGCCTTTGAAGGTACCTTAAGGGAGCTTCGAAGGCTTCGAAGCCTTCCTCAACAGACCTTCAAATTCAATTTCTCAAGCTCCCCCCTTAAGGTACCTTTCTGAAGGGCCTCTCACCAACTGCCTGCAGCCAAGCAAATTCTCTGGCCACATACCTGGAGCGTCGCAACCAAACATGAACACCGTTGTACTTGTCACGTCATGTGCGTGCCATCCTCGTTGTCAACTTATGGAATTTCATCGCCATGGGCGTAGATGTCAGCAGAGACCAAAACTCCCATCGACTTCAACCTAGAAATCTCAAGTTCATCGGCCAAAAGATCAAGTGGCAAAGATCTTCAGAAAAATGTCACTAGTTGAATCTGTGTCACCTTGCACATGCGCATCTACTCTGGCGGAAGCCATAAAGGCGTTGGACGGAAAAAAATTACACATGCGCATCTACTGGGTCATCATCGCATAGGGTATATTCAGAGGCTTCGAGGCTTTCAACTTCATCATTTTCGAATTTCAAACCGATCTATCTCCATTGGACCCATCAACCCTTTAGCTGGTGTGAGCTGTGTATTGCAAATAGGTTACAACCTAGTGGACATCTAGTCCAAAGAGATGAATCAGCTGATGCCCATACATGTGT